CCATTCACCTCAGCCTCCCAAAGGCACGGGATTACAGGCTGAGCCACCGAGCCCGGTTAGGATGTTGTTTTTTTTGAGCCACAGTCTCACTCTGTTGCCCAGACTGGAGTGCAGTGGCACACTCCTGGCCACCACAGCCTTGACTTGCTGGGCTCAGGTGAACCTTCCACCTCAGCCTTCCAAGTAACTGGACCCACGGGCATGTGCCACCATGCCCGGCTAATTTTTCATGATTTATTATAGAGATGAGATCTCGCCATGTTGCCCAGGCTGGTCTTGAACCCATAGACTCAGGCAATCCTCTCACCTCGGCCATCCAAAGTGCTGGGACTATAGGCGTGAGCCACTGTGCCTGGGCTAAAACTGTTTTTTTTTTTTTCAAAGCAGGATTTATTGAGAGGACAGAAAAGCTCCCACAGTGGGAGGGAACCCAAAGTGGCTACCCCAAACTGTTTCTTTTTGGTTTGTTTGTTTGTTTGTTTTTTGAGTCGGAGTCTCACTCTGTCGCCCAGACTGGAGTGCAGTGGCCGCTCCCGGCCACCGCAGCCTCGACCTGCTGGTCTCTGGGGATCCTTCCTCCTTAGCCTCCCGAGTAGCCGGAATTACAGGCATGCGCTACCACACCCAGCTGATTTTTTTATTTATTGTAGAGATGAGGTCTCGCTGCCCAGGCAGGTCTCGAACCCGCGAGTTCAGGCAATCTACTCACCTCAGCCTCCCAAAGGCGCTGGATTACAGGCTGAGCCACCGAGCCCGGCTGTTGTTTTTTTTTTTAAAGGATATTTGCCTGGCAGAGAAGATAGTGAAGGGATTCTATAAAGAGGGACCAACCTCTATGACAAGCAACAGTGTGGCTTATTCAGGAAACTAAAAAAGTGTCAGGGAGGGAGACCTGCAGGGAGGCAGAGTAATGAGAGCAGAGCCTTAAAGAAAGCTCAGATCTGTGTGCATGCTAGAATTTGAAGTATTACTTATATTTGTTTTTGTGTTTTTGTTTTTTTCCTTGAGTCAGAGTCTCACTCTGTCGCCCAGGCTCGAGTGCAGTGACATGCTCACAGCTACCGCAGCCTCGACCTGCTGGGCTCGGGCGATCCTTCCACCTTAGCCTACCAAGTAGCTGGAAATACAAGTATGCGCCACCACACCCAGCTAATTTTTTGGTTTATTGTAGAGATGAGGTCTTGCCATGTTGTCCAGGCTCATCTCTAACCCATGAGCTCAGATAATCCTCTCACTTTCGCCTCCCAAAGTGCTGGGATTACAGGCATGAGCCACTGTGCCTGGATGAACTATTACTTATAAATACATGTCAGGCATTTCATAAGGATTTGTTGCTGCCAGGCATGGTGGCTTACACCCGTAATCCCAGCACTTTAGGAGGCCAAAGCAGGAGGATCTCTTGAGCCCAGGAGTTCAAGGCTGCAGTGAGCTATGATCACACCACTGTGCTCCAGCCTGGGCTATAGAGTGAGACTCTGTCTCTTCGAAAAAAAAAAAAAAAAAATTAAGCCGGGCTCGATGGCTCAGCCTGTAATCCTGCGCCTTTGGGAGACTGAGGTGAGTGAATTGCCTGAGCCCGCGGGTTCGAGACCCACCTGGGCAGCGAGACCTCATCTCTACAATAAATCAAAAAATTAGCCGGGTGTGGTAGCGCGCCTGTAGTTCCAGCTACTTGGAAGGCTGAGGCAGAAGGATCGCCGGAGCCCAGCAGGTCGAGGCTGCGGTGGCCGGGAGCGGCCACTGCACTCCAGTCTGGGCGACAGAGTGAGACTCCAACCCAAAAAAAAAAAAAAACATTGTTCAACAGATTTATAGGGGCCATTAGAAGGTTTTAGGCAGCAGCAGACTGCTGGACCTATTGCAGCAGGCCAGGTGAGAAACAATGAGGGCCGAGACTAAGGCTACAGCAGCAACACCCAAGACCAGGAGATGGTTTCCAGAGATGGACATGGTGAGGAACTCGGTGGTGGAAAAGTAGTTGAAGGCAACTCCTGAGATTCTGCTTTGGGCTTGGGGGAAGTGGTGGCATCGCCTTCCTGGATGGGGGTTACCGGCAGAAGACTCAGGACATTCTTACTACATGTAATTACTTGTTTATAAGTGAGCATCTCCTGTGAGAACAGACTGGGCTTTGTTCATTACCGTGTCCTTTGCATTAGCATTGAGATCAGAAGGATTGTTTGACTCTCAGGTTTCCTGATTGAGAGGAAACAGACCTGGATAGCATTCACGTCTAGCGGAGTTTCAAATGTTTTATATCAGGGCCTCTCAAAGTTTCCCACGAGGGCCCTCATGAGACTGGAGTTCCCTACCCACTTGTCCACCCTCATCTGTTTAGAGGAAGCTGTGGCTATGTCTGGAAGAGGGTATCTCCAGTGAAAAATACCTTCAAGGCTCATGTTTGATCTTTAGAAGCCAGACTCGGTTTACTTTCTTCTCATTGATCCTTGTTTTAATAAAACACTCTCCTTTCCCCTAAAAAAATCACTTTAATGACCTTCTACCGCATACCCCCAGAACTATCCCCAACTTAAGAAGAACCACAAAACAGGATTGTTTTTTCAGCAATGTATTATGTTCCTAATTCTATAGGTCTGATAGGAGAACAGTCCTTTAATTGCATCTGAGACTTTTTTTTGTTGAGTTGGAGTCTCGCTCTTGTCACCCAGGCTGGAGTGCAATGGCATGCTCACAGCCACCACAGCCTCAACCAGCTGGGCTCAGGCGATCCTTCTGCCTCAACCTTCCAAGAAGCTGGCACTGTAGACGCATGCCATCATCTGAGACTCTTGACCGCAGCCAGAGTCCTATGAGACCAACAGAAATAGGAACTTGACTATAATTTCATGGGCCTTTCTGACTTATATCCCCAGGTGCTGCAGAAGTTGGGGAAAACTGTAGAAACCAAAGATGAGCGATTTGAACAAAGTGCCAACAACTTCTACCAACAGCAGGTAATTTGGAGGTGTGGAAGGGGCGCTTGAAGGAGCAGGAGACGTGACGGCTGAGAACTGGAGGAACAGCAGGGTCTGTGAAGCAGCAAACATCCTTGTCAGTTCACACTCCCCCAGGGGTAAGGACCATGGAGTGACCTGCGGCTTGTCTGTACCCTGGAAGCCAGAGAAACTTACCTTCCTGTTCCTGCTGACCCTGGAATTTGGGGGGACAGAGGAATGTGCTTCTTTTTTTTTTTTTTTTTTTTTTGAGTTGGAGTCTCACTCGGTTGCCCAGACTGGAGTGCAGTGGCCGCTCCCGGCCACCGCAGCCTCGCCTGCTGGGCTCCGGCGATCCTTCCACCTCAGCCTTCCCAGTAGGCGGAATTACAGGCATGCGCTACCACGCCTGGCTGATTTTTTTTTTTTTTGATTTATTGTAAAAATGAGGTCTCGCTGCCCAGGCGGGTCTCGAACCCGTGGGCTCAGGCAATCCACTCACCTCAGTCTCCCAAAGCTCTGGGATTACAGGCTGAGCCACTGAGCCCGACTTTTTTTTTTTGAGTCAAGAGTTTCACTCTGTTGCCCAGACTGGAGTGCAGTGGCACGCTCCCGGCCACTGCAGCCTTGCCCTGCTGGGCTCTGGCGATCCTTCCACCTCAGCCTTCCAAGTAGCCAGAACTACAGGCGTGCTCCACCACGCCCGGCTAATTTTTTATTTATTGTAGAGATGAGGTCTCGCCAAGTTGCCCAGCTGTGTCACGAACCAGTGGGCTCAGGCAATCCACTCACCTCGGCCTCCCAAAGTGCTGGGATTATAGGCTGAGCCACCAAGCCCGGCCAGGGTCAAGGTTTTGAAAGGAAAAAAATGAGGAAGATTACATGATTGTTTTAAAATAATTGTCATTGGCTGCAGATACCAATGACAAAGGTTCAAGGTTGGATAGACTGTTGCTGGACAAATGTCCTAGCAGAAGTTTTTTTTTTTTTTTTTTGAGTTGGAGTCTCACTCTGTCGCCCAGACTGCAGTGCAGTGGCTGCTCCCGGCCACTGCAGCCTCGACCTGCTGGGCTCCGGCGATCCTTCCGCCTCAGCCTTCCGAGTAGCTGGAACTACAGGCGCGCGCTACCACGCCCATCTAATTTTTGATTTATTGTAGAGATGAGGTCTTGCCAAGTTGCCCAGGCGGGTCTCGAACCCGCGGGCTCAGGCA